TTGAGCTTCATACTTCAATGTGGAGCAAAATCTTTCTGGTTAATGGTGGCACCACGGGTGCTGGCTGGGGCCATGTTTTATCTATAATGGGAAATGTAGACCCAGAAGTACGAAATGTAATCGCTGTGCTTCTCCTTCTTGCAGATGGCGACACCCCCGAGGGATCCCGCGGGGCTGTGCCCGGGACCCCCTCCCCGGATGAAGCCCGAGGCACGGCGCGGGTCGCCGTGCCGGAGCTGACGGGAGCCGCGCAGGCGGCGGCGGGGCCGCTAAACCAACCACAACGCTGGGAGTACACTGGGGTGGGTATTGGATAATGATAGGTGACGTTTCAGGCAATGGTCCGTCTGCAGAGCACATCACAGTTGTTTGCCCTTTCATACCGTCGCCGATAGAGAGTGGCCCACAAGTTAGGACACACAGATCTTATTGATTTATTTAAACAAATCACAGAGGATTGTTTTGTCATGGTATTAATTATAATAACAAAAAAAATGTTAACTTTTAGACTAAATGATTAAAACGTTGCAATTTCAGTGGCACGATGAATGAAACTTTTGGGCCAACCTGTATTTTGCACTCCTATCATGTGTTGATATTGTTCGTTGTTGTAACATTCTTACCTACCCCAACTGGACACCTATACGAAAGAGCTTTATAACTCATCGGATTCCTCCAGTCTAAATATCTATTCTGATTCCGATAATAATGTGTAATAAATATATCATGTGTGGTTAGATATAAAAAGCGACGTTTCAGGCAATGGCCTTTCATAACGTCACCTATAGAGGGTAGCCCAAAAGTCATGCCACATAGTGTCATCATTTTTATTTTAACAGGTAACAAAGCATTATGTTGTTTGTTTTAACAAATGTTAAAACTGACTTCTGTTTACATTGATGCACGATGTACGAATGAGCAGTCACAGCTGCCTTCTTTTGCATACGAATGACAATCAAACTCGTTCGTCTCTGGTCAATTTCCTGTCCATTTTTTCAATATCATCTGAAAATGAAGAAGAAAAATAGATATTAATAATAATATCAAGTTCAAGTTCATTTATTAGGTATAGCCCTGTGAGCCATTCGGCTCTTGAATCGGGTGCAACCACAACAAACAAAAGAACATGAACAAGAAAACATCTTAAAGTGATTATGTGACTATTTGCAAACAGAAAATCCAAGAAAAGACGGCAAAACATTGCAGAAAAAGCACCGTACACCAACGCTGTGTGCAAAAATCCCAGTGGAATGCAAGTCCGGAGCGAAACATTTTATTTTAGGCCACTAAATAGCAGTGGCAGCTCGGGGTGTACATCTCCTCTAGAGCAGTTTTGAGTGAAGATATCATAGGTAGTGATTCAAGTTGCAGTTTATTGGCAATAGCATTCCAGACCCTGGGGGCATCAATAGAAAAGGCCCTTCCTCCAGTATTTGTATGGCAATAAGGAATCTGAAGTTGGTAAATGAGCGAAGACCTTAGGTCAAATTTGTTCTTTGAGAGGAAATCCCGCAGATAATCTGCGGATTTTTTTGGAAGTACATTATGAATCAAAAAGATCTGGTGCACAAGCCGTCGAACATTAAGAGATGTTAAGTTTGACCCAATGTAGAGATCACAGTGGTGAGTCCTATATGGGCAGTTCAGTGCAAATCTTAAGGCCGAGTGATACATTGAGTCAAGCTTCTTCAATGCAGTATTTGGGGCTGATTTATACACGCTGTCACAGTAATCAAGTAGAGACAGTATGGTAGCTTTTATCAATTCCAAACGGAACATAGGGGGGAAGCAGTGCTTGTGTCGATACAGAAAACCTATTTTTGTCTTTTTACCAATATAATCAATGTGATCTTCAAAATTCAGTTTTGAATCAAGGATGACCCCAAGATACTTATAGATCTTGACTTGCTCTATTTGATCATTATTTAAGAAATGTAATTGGGGAAAAATAACTTCCCGCTTCAGTCCTGGTGAGGAGCATCGCGTAATTGCCCGTCACGTGACGGATATTTTCACGTCGTAAACGATCCACTGTGTTGTGACTTGTCGATGACGCCACCTCTGCCGTCTTCCTCCGTTTAATCGACGTCTTCTTTCGTCTGCGACTCTTCTGGATTCATCTGAATGAACTCAAAATTACGGAATGTGACGTACCGAATGTAATTTTCTCTTCTCCGAGAGTAATGTATAACAAACCTGCAAATAAAGAATGAAAAATTGTAAATCACCTTCATCATTCTAATAGCTGTTGGAGTTTCCTTTCTGTCGGGAAGAAAGTAAACGAAAAGTTTCAATCGAAAATTAGTTTTGCAAACTTTTATTTTTTTCTCACCTGTGAGAGTGAATGAAACAATGTAAACACGCGGTTCTTGACTTATGTTTGTTGCAAATGCGCAATTGTTGTGGTAATTATTACATTATTATTATAAGTATTGACTTACTGGATTCCCTATTGATGTGAATACTAAAAAATGAGCTGTTTATAACCCGGAAGGACGCGTCGTTGTGTTCACCAGTTTTCGCTCAAAACGTGAGCAGAAAATCGCTTTTACCAAAATGAATTTGCACTCAGTGAGAGGAGCGGCCCTGGAGCAGCTGCTGCCAGCAACTGGCAACGCCCTCGGCCAACCACCCAATGGGCGCCCCCACCCCCAAACCCCAAGGGCAGATCCAGGCTGAGGTTTCTGGTAAACTGGGAAACATTTTGCCCCGATTTTAGGTATGATGATAACTTAATGTTTTACATTCTCAGGAATGTTGAGAAGTGAATTATAATTCATATTCCCGCTGTATGCGCACAGTAATTGAAATAATGACATCGTCGTTATTTTATTTCTATGTTTACTGGTAGTAACCTCCTGGTTACACCAGCCCACAGAGGATTATTTTGTCTATCCGTCGTGCAGGGAGGAGCTGGGTGGGGAGGGTGGGGCTGGGTGGCGAGGGTGGGGCTAGGTGGGGAGGGTAGGGGGTGGGAGGGGTGGGGCTGGGTGGGGAGGGGCTGCTCACCCCGTGGTGCCCTTAACACGTTCCTTCGGAGTGGGCAGGTAGGAACTTGGTTGGACAGCGCGCCGATCAGGGGGGGGGGGGCAGTTGGATGAGTGGGCGTGTTTACCCTTCCCCCCCACCCTCCCCGACATCGCCAACCAATTGCGGCGTAGCTCGGTGTTCGGTGGGGAGTAGGCCTCAGCAAGGTAAGGTAATTTACCCTTTTTACCGGGTAAAAGGGTAAAGGTGTCAACATGCCAAGGGGTAAGGTCAAGGGTAGGGTAAAGGTAGCTTGGAAGAATTACCCGGTAGGGTAAAGGTAGCGCGAAGTATTACCCGGTAAATACGGTACCTTGTTTACCGCTAAAAGCTCCGTGGAGCAGTCCATGGCCTCCATTTAATAAGTAATATTAAAAATACTTTTTTTTAAACACGCTTTCATTAAATCTACGAGTAATAACATAACTCCACGACTCCAGGAAGTGGCCCCGAAGCTTGCCATAACGTAAGGGACCGTGGTGATTTACAGCCAACGTCAGTTGAGCGTGGACAATTAGACCCAAGCCGAAACATAACATATAAAAAATCATGTAAAAAAATTTTTCATGATAGAATATAGTATTGTCATCAGTATGCCATAAGTATACCAAGTGTGCAGTCGATACCACATTAGGAAGTGGGTTAAAATTGAGTTACAAGATTTGAGGATACGACAGCGATGACAACGACGACAACGACAACAATGACAACAAGCGTGTAAAATTGGAATCATCGAGAGTACTCTATATGAATAAAGCGCGCTATCTAGCATTTACCGTTATAAACCTTTTTCATGTGTAGTACCCTAGTAATTACCCTGTAATCGGGTAATTTGTATGGGGTAAGGGTAAAAGGTAGGCTCTTGCTTTTTACCTTACCTGCTAAAGGGTAAAAGGTAAGGGTAGAGTAATTGTATTGTGGTAAGGTAGAAGGTAGGGTAAAGGTAGGCTCGTTGTTTTTTGTTTTTAACTTTTACCTTACCTTGCCGAGGCCTCGGGGAGGTGCATGGGTGGGCAGAATTCCGGATATGCACGACAGACAGACAGACAAATAATCCCTGGTGGGCAGTGTGGAACCTGTTGTTCCTACCTGTATAACACTCTAGGCAACTAAGACTCACACACACATACACTCACTCTCACACTGTCAAACTCACACACACACAAACTCTCACACTCTCAGACTCACACACACACACTCTCACAGTCTCAGACTCACACACACATACACTCACGCTCAAACGCACACAGACACTGACATCTCACACTCTCAGACTCACACACACACTCACCCTTACACTCTCAGACTCACTCTCACATTCTCAGACTCACACACACATACACTCACTCTCACACTTAGACTAACACACACACACTCTCACACTCTCAGACTCAAACAAACACTTACTTTCACACTCTCAGACTCACACACACACACTCTCACACTCAGCGTGGCGTTCGGGGGGGGGGCAGTTGGATGAGTGGGCATGTTTACCCTTCCCCCCCACCCTCCCCGACATCGTCAACCAATCGCGGCGTTGCTCGGTGTTCTGTAAGGAGGGGATTGCATGAGTGGGCGTGTTTACACCCCACCTCTACCAGTGGCCGCCCCGCTCGGCGTTTTGGGGGGGGAGGGAAGTTGGATGATTGGGCGTGTTTACCTTCCCCCCACCCTCCCCGACATCCTCAACCAATCGTGGCCTTGCTCGGCGGTCGGTGGGGGGGGGGCATGGGTGGGCTGCATTTTGATGCACGACAGACAAATAATCCCTGGTGGGCAGTGTGGAACCTGTTGTGCCAACCTGTATCAACGTTTAAACTACTCACACCGGCTTGTGCCTGCCCTCACAGTCGGGCATATTTGCGGAATACACCACGCTGCCGTTGACCCTGGCCATTGACCGTTACTACCAGCTCCCTCCGCAGGAATGTGTTTTGCTCGAATTTTTGGCGCCCCACTTAACTTGGGGCCCCATGCGGCCGCCTGGTTCAACTTCATGAAGGGGTGGACGCCCCTGTTCAGTTACAATAACTTACTGGATTCTGAATTGATGTGAATTAAAAAAAGTGAATATTGATTATTGATCGCAAGGGAAAAGGTCGGTGTTCACTCATTTTAACAAATGTTCACCGTAAGTGCGAGCAAAAGTCATCAAAGTGAAACTGCACTGAGTTCAAATTCAAAGCAGATTCTGCTCCTTTATTTCAATTTCTATTGGAAGTAAAAAAAAAACCTATTATCTCGCACAAATTAACTGAATAGTTTATTTATTATTCAATAATAGAGGGTGTCAAAACGCAAAGATAAAATACAAACACAGGGGATATTTAGGGAGAACATTGATTTTTCGTCTCACAACAAACGAATAATTAGTCACAATTTTAATCTAAGCCTATCAAGAGGAATTTAGCATATATATAAGCTGGGTTGGAGGTGGAAGAAGAGCGCCTTGACAAAATAATTTGCATATCAATAGGAATTTATCATATTTATGGGAAATGCGTAGGAGGTGGGCTGGGGGGTTTCAAAGTCATATTATGCCCATTCATTATGCAGGATTAGCAGCATCAAAGGGAGGGGGTAGGGGGTAGCATTAACATTCCCACCCTTTGTTAATGCTACCCCCTACCCCCTCCCTTTGATGCTGCTAATCCTGCGTAATGCATGGGCATAATATGACTTTGAAACCCCCCAGCCCACCTCCTACGCATTTCCCATAAATATGCTAAATTCCTCTTGATATGCAAACTATTTTGTCAAGGCGCTCTTCCCCCCCTCCAACCCAGCTTAAAAAGACGCTCCAAGCCTGGGGTTGTCATTCAGACTCTGTCTTCTCGACAGACCTGTTCTTCACCTGAGGACGGCTGCTTGCGTTGTGGCCGAAACGTCGTGAGAATTATTTTATGTTTTATTTTTATTATTTTATTACTTCCCTTCTACGTGACTTTACCATACAGTATACATTAATTACACATTATTATTATTATTATCTGTAATTAATGTAAAGAACCAAAAAGATGAATCCCTGCAGTCACGAAAGCTTTAAATCGAAATATATACTGTATGATTAAATATATAACAGGTGACGTTTCAGGCACTGGCCCTGCTTCAGAGCACGTCACAGTTAGTCCTTCATGACGTCGCTAATAAGAGGCTGGCCCAAAAATCAGGACACATCGGGTTATAATTGTGTTAACAAATAACAGATTGTTATTTAGTTCAAGATTAATGCACGAATTATCTTTTGAAATTAAGTTAATATCTTTAAAAAGTTTACAGCTTCCTTCTTTTGCATACGTAACGACGAACTGAAATCGTTCGTCTTTAGTCAATGGCCCCTTCTTCATAGACTATTTGGCGAGTTAAAGTGAGCTTGGGGTTCCTTTAAAAATAGATTATGTTTATATATTTGAGACATTTGATGCAGGTTGTCCATCGGGTCGTGGACTAAAATTGTATTTCTTTTGGTGATAAAATAGTCCCACGTGTGTTGGGATCCAAGTCAAGATGGGAGGAGCAATTGTCGATGTTTTGACTACGTTGTGTGGCAGGACCCAACCACGACTGTGGCGTGCGGAGCAGAGGGCACCTCGTCCGGCAACGACCTCACGGTCTTGGCCCCCACCTCGTCCAACGAGGTGCTGGCGGCGGCAGACGAGAGGCTCTGCTCCCAACCCAGCTGCCTTCCCCATGGCCTGCCGGAACCCTCCCCGGTGCCAGCCACAGCACGAGAAAACATCAGCGTGTCTGTGCTGCCTGCACCCCAAGGTGAGTGTGCGACCACGCGACCTCGTGGCCTCTCGTTAGGGTGGCGGCCACCAATGCATGGGCCGCTGTGGAGCCACTGCTGTTGCCGTTCACGAGTAACACGAGGAGCTCAAAACACCTATCAGTCAACGTGACAGGCGCATCACATTTTTCGCTACCTTGAGATTTAAACTTTAATGTGGAGCAACATCTTTCTGGTTAAGAGTAGCAGCACGGGTGCTGCTGGCTGGGGCTACTGAACAGTGCCATGTTAAACTTTCGTGGGAAATGTAGAGCCGTGTGTTTGTCCGAAGTACAAAATGTGATCGCTGTGCTCCTCCTTCTTGCAGATGATGACCCCCGCGAGGGATCCCGCGGGGCTGTGCCCGGGACCCCCTCCCCGGATGAAGCCCGAGGCGCGGCGCGGGTCGCCGTGCCGGAGCTGACGGGAGCCGCGCAGGCGGCGGCGGGGCCGCGTCTGGGGGCGGAGCCTCAGGTGAGGGGGCGGGGCCCCGGGTGGCGGGCGGGGCGGGGCCCGCTGGCGCCACTCAGCCAATCACAACGCTGGGAGTGCACGAGTGGGGGGAATTGTTACAGGAAAATGATAGGCGACGTTTCAGATAATGGCCCTTCTGCAGAGCACATCACATCAATTACATAACGTCGCCTATATAAAATTGCCCCAAAAGTCAGGACACAGAGTTACCGTATTTATTTGAACTAGTCAAAGAGGATGTTATCAAAATTAATGATAGTTAAATTGTTAACTTTAAGAACAAATAATGAGAACTATGTAATGTCAGTGTTAAGATAAATTAAGTAACCCTGTGTCTTAACTTTTGGGCCAACTTGTATTTTGCACTCCTATGATGTTTGTGTTGTTCGTTGTTGTAACATTCTTACCCGCCCCGACTGGACATCTGTGAAAAAGAGCTTTATAGCTCATCGGATTCCTCCCGTATAAATATTCTGACTTTGATAAAAACGTGTTTTACATATATAAAGTATTCTTAAATATATAAAAGCGACGTTTCAGTTAATGCCCCTTTTTCAGAGCACATCACAGTTGGCCCTTCATGACGTCGTTTGTAAGAGGGTGGCCGAAAAATCAGGATTAGTGTATTTATTTGAACAAATCACGGAGGATTATTTAGTTTAATTTTAACAAATGTTAAAAATTAATTTGATTAACATGAATGCTCGATTTATCTTCTGAAATGCATTTATGACCTCTTTTAAACTACAGCTGCCTTCTCTCTCGCATGCATAACAACAAATTGAATTAGTTCATCTTTAGTCAATGGCCGTTCTTCATATAATATTTTACGAGTTAAAGTGAGTTTGGGGTTACTTTAAAAATACAGGTGTATACTGTAAATATATTTTTGCTTCTGAGACAATTCATGCAGATCGCCCATAGGTTCATGGACTAAAATTGTATTTCTTTTGGTGATAAAACAGTCCCGCGTGTGTTGGGATCCCAGTCCAGATGGGAGGAACAATTGTGGATGTTTTGACTACGTTGTGTGGCAGGACCCAACCACGACTGTGGCGTGCGGAGCAGAGGGCACCTCGTCCGGCAACGACCTCACGGTCTTGGCCCCCACCTCGTCCAACGAGGTGCTGGTGGCGGCCGACGAGTGGCTCTGCACGCAACCCTGCTGCCTTCCCCATGGCCGGCCGGAGCCCTCCCCTGTACCAGCCACAGAGAACATCAGCGTGTCTGTGCCTGCACCCCAAGGTGAGTGTGCGATCACGTGACGTCATGGCATCTCATTAGGGTGGCAGCCACCAACGCAAGGGCCGCTTTGGAGCCACTGCTGTTGCCGTTCACGAGTAACACGGGGAGCTCAAAACACCCAGCAGCCAACGCGACAGGCAAATTATATTTTTCGCGAACTTGAACCTGACACTTAAATGTGGAGCAAAATCTTCGTGGTTAAGAGTAGCAGTACGGGTGCTGGCTGGGGCTACTGAATATCCACGCCAGCCCCATCGGCAGTGCAGCGCTCTGCGATGACACCGGCTTCCGACCCTTTGTGCAGAGGAGGACGACGGCATTCCGGCGGCACGGCTCTCGTTGTTTGCACCGGAGCGGCTGAACCTCCGGTGGGAGAGCGACGTCTGCAAGGGTGCCGGCCTGCGCAACCTGGGGAACACCTGCTTCCTCAACGCCACGCTGCAGTGCCTCGCCTACACGCCGCCGCTCGCCAACTACCTGCTGCTGCAAGAGCACTGCAGCACCTGTAAGTACCCTCCCCCCTGGCACTCTCGTTTACCCATGGGTTAGGTTATTATGTCAGTTATTTTGCTGCGATACATTTTCCACGTGATAAGCCACTTCGTTGAGCCATCATTTGTGGTCCAGGTCGCTTCTGAAGAAGCTAATAGCTCAGTGGGCTTTATCTGGGAAGATGAAAAAAAAGTTTAGTTTTATTTGTAGATTTTTAAAAGGTGATTTGTTTACCTTTCCAATACTTTGTACTCTGATCGTTTTTTGTATTGTTTGGTGTTGTAATGTTCTGACCCAGTGCCCCTACTCGACATTTTTTAAACAAAACCTCTTAGCTTATCGGATTCCACCAGTATAAATATTATGATTTTGATAAACACGAGCACATGTGGCGATAATTTTTAATAGGTCGGACAGATGTGATGCAATTGGTACTTAGACGCAACATTCATTGCGATTGTTGCTGGTGCCAGGATTCTAGCCTTTCTTGTTACTCCCCAGCTGGGCTGAGTGCAAGTGGCGTGCGCTGACGGATTGTGCCACCTGTGCTCTCGTTCGCAGGCCAACAAAGCGACTTTTGCCTGATGTGTGTCATGGAGCATCACATTGTCAGCACGTTCAACAACTCGCAGAGAGTGCTGACACCCAAGGTCATAACTAAGAACATCACGCGTGAGTCCCAATACTACGTTCACACTTGCACTCGCAGGAGAAGTTATCCCCCGCGATCTTTCTCCATCTGTGTTCCAAGTCCTTTGCACCACTCCTTTTGCCATATATGTTGGGGAGCTCTTTAAGGATGTCATCAGATCCTGTACCTGTCACTTTGTCCCCATGTCCATTTCTCTGCAGGCATCGCCAAACACCTGCGCATTGGGAGACAGGAAGATGCCCACGAGTTTCTGCGATACGTGGTAGATGGCATGCAAGCCTCATGCCTCTATGGCCACAGCGAGTGAGTACTGCGCGCCAGTCAACATGCGGCAGTCGTTCTGCAGTTTGGTACCTCACGGCTTCCTCTCGGTTTTCTGCACGATTGTACTTCAACGTCTGTGAAAAGCTACTCACACTTTTGTGTGAACACCTGGGAGATGCAGAGGACCGGCCCTGCTGACACCACGGTTCTTTCACCTTGGCCCTGACGTGGGCCATCTTTTGTTTGTGCATTTCACATTGCCGATAAATATCGGGAAATTGATGTCTCGATGTGCGGTGTCCCCGTGACGACATTCCTCGTGTTGACGAGCGGCACGTGGCACGCCGAGCACAACAAAAGCGCCGGGCAACAGCACCGCGTGATGGCTGCCAGCTTTCCCCCAGCTCTGTGGCTGTTCCGTGAAGGTGGCTGCCCTGTGCAGACGCGACCACGTTTGGTTGCTACAGAGCACGCGTTGCAGTGCTGAAGGGAAAGAGTGAATCGACAGCTCGGGCAATGGTGCAACTCTCACACACGTGTGTGCATCCGGTAAAGGTGTTACTACTGCTGCTGCTGTAACCACCGTGTGGTGTCGTTCTCTGTGACTGGCAGGCTGGACAGATACACGGAGGCTACCACCCTCATTTACCAGATCTTCGGGGGTTACCTTCGATCACGTGGTGAGTTGTGCGCACTCCTCTAGAAACTTGTTCACCGCGAGCAGCAAGTGCACCATCACAGTGTAGACGTGCTCGCGTCGCAGCGTTTGCACACTCTCACGCACGTGCAACACAGAATAACCTTTTACCAGTTGGTGAAAACTACCAATTACCAATGTCAGTGGGGAGCGTGCATTTAGTTTTACTAAGTAACATGTGACGTCCCTTCCTAATGCGTGTGTGCTTGTGTTTTGCAGTGGAGTGCATGCAGTGCTGCAACCACTCCGACACCTTTGACACGTGCCTGGACATTGCACTCCATATTAATGTAAGCAATGACGAAGCCATCGATTAACAGTTATAGATCTACGTACGGTGCGAAATAAGTTAAACGTACATACATCGCATACGTGAACAACAACCCCCATTCGCCACTAAGTGGTGGTGATGTCACCACGGTGCTTGTGCCAGCCTGAGTGCACTTTAAGGCCATATGAAGTGTCGAACGCCCGCTGGCAGGTCACGGGACAGACCCAGGTGCCATGGGTTGACCGAGATGACTGGCCGATGCACCACCTGTGCTCCCTGCTGTGCCAACATCCACCACACACACGCCTACCTGAATCAGCCACTTAACATCCAAACACACTGCCGGTAGCGTACGTGATCTCTTTTTTTGGTCGTACGATTTCATACAAGATGCGGGTTTTCAGAATTACCGTCACAATAACATTCTGCAGATGTTCATGGAATGCTTCTTAGAGTCCTCATTTGCGTTTCACTCTGTCGACCAACAGAACTCATCAGATCTTGTGGAGGCATTTGAAGAGTTTTTTAACAAGGAGACGCTGGACGAATACACCTGCGGAATGTGAGTTGGGCATCGTGTGTTGACACCCTGGAATCATTTGTAGCTTCAAAAGTCTGCAGATTAAATCAAATTATAATAAAATATTTTAATAAAATTTTATGTAAATACATTGAAAATAACTTACAATATATAATAAAAGTAACAATTTTTTATTTTAAGAAATTAAGAAAAATTAACAAACAACAAAAAGAGAGTAGACTTATTGTTTAAAGTTGGGTAACGCGTGCGATGGCTGGCGTTGTTGTTGTCGTGCAGGTGCTGCTGCAAGGGGGAAGCGACGAAGACGATGGCTCTCCACCGCCTGCCCAACGTCCTCACCGTCTCCATCAAGCGGTACAACCTCTACGGCGTCAAGATCAACCGGGTAACGATTCTGCCCCTCCACATCGTTCGAATTAAATTACTTAATGACAGCCCTTTGTCAGTTCAACGCTGGAGAAAATGCCTCTCCATGTTGGAATAGGTCCGACAGATAGACTCGCCCCCCGTCATGTGACTGTAGAATTTCCACCACTTGCTCAGGGCTATGAACAGGAGATGAGCACCGTCTTCAACGCTCAAATTAGCGAGACATCACGTCACTTTGACGTGTAACTTAGATGGTGCCCATCTCTGCTGCCCACCCCACCACCCCTGCCGTTTCCTCTCCTAACATTTGTCTCTGTGCACTGCCTCCCCCTCCTGTGCGCTGCCTGTAGAACATCACCTACCCGGAGCACCTGGACATGCAACCCTTCACCTCAACGTCTCAGGGCGAGCCCGCGATCTACTCCCTGTACTCGGTGCTGGTGCACAAGGGAGCCAACTCCAACAGGGGTCATTATTATTGCTACAATAAGGTAATTCCATTCGTTACTATCAAACAAAAACAACGCACATCTGCAATGCGCCCATAATGTTACCAATGTCCGATAGGGAAGAATAATTAAAAGTCTTGTGTATGTTCTTGCGTCTTGATGCACTCATGCAATTTCTACTTAAAGTGTATACTTTATTTGTATTTAGTGACTTCCATAGCATTTCTACACTTTGCACTCCAATCGGTGTTGTATTGTTTGTTGTTGTTGTAACTTTCTGACCCGCCCCGACTGGACATTTGTTTAAGAGCTTCGTAGATCATCGAATTCTTTCAGTACAAATAAAGATTCTGATTCTGATGAAATTGGTCCAAGGTCATCCATGCAGTGATATATTCAGGCAGATCGTTTCGTAACTTCAGCACCATCACAGCAACCGTAGCACGCTCTGACAAAGGGGTGATGCTCTTTACGAACTTGTTGTCTAGAGTGTGTATTGCGTGTTGTTATTACATCAACGGAGGAATCTGGGTGCAGTTGTGTAAACATTGTAACCAAGTGTAGCTGTGCTTTGACTGTGCGCAGATCAGCGATGGACAATGGTGCTGCATGAACGACTCCAACGTGCGGCACGTCGACACCAAGGCTGTGATGAATAAGCAGGCCTACGTGCTCTTCTATATTCGGTAAGTCACATTCTCTCCCCTCCACTTTAACCTGCACTTACAACCGTCCCCCAGACCAGCTCACTGGAAAGATATTGTCTTGTGCGAGCAGCAGTGTCTCCTTTAAAGGCAGGTGTTAACGGTTTGCGACGCGTTGGTGCGTGCATGCAGGTCCCCAGAATTGAACGCGCCGCCAGCGGAGAGCTACTGCCCGCTGGAGCACGTCAAGGCGACGTCCTGGTCGTGCCTTAAGCGGCCCCACTCGGCGAAGGAAGACCCCGGACCCAGTTACCGGACAGCAGCTCTCCTCACCGGCGCGCAAGGTAAAGGATGGATTGGAAACGCCGTCCTGTGTGCGTGGAAATGCCCAGGGAGAATGTACACCCTGACAGCGCATCATTTTATATTAAGGGAATGGTGAAGTACAGCGATCTTCTTGTTTATACTTTAGACCGGTTTTGTTTCATTCTCCCAATGTCGAGCGGTTTGGACTTTAGCGCCATCATCTTCTTTATCTCCAGAAACCCAAGATGTCGGACCGCCCCAACGGGAACAACTGCCGGAGCCACTGCAAGTGCGACGGCAGGAACAGCAGCAGCAGCAGCTACCGGCAACGCCAGACACGCAACAGCCGTTGCCGCTAGTCCCAGAGCAGCCACCACCACCACCCCGATCTCACAGCAGCCGCTGCCATTCCACCAGCAACCACCGCCAGTCCTACAGCAGCCACCACCACCACCGCCGCAGGTCTCATAGAAGCCGCCGTCAGCACCACAGCAGCTGCTGCCACCGCGTGTCCCACAGCAGCCAGTCCAACAGCAGCCAGTCCAACAGCAGCCAGTCCCACAGCAGCCAGTCCAACAGCAGCCAGTCCAACAGCAGCCACCGCCACCAGTCCCACCACAGCCACCGCCACTCTGGTCGCACAGCAGCCACCACCGGTGTAACAACTGGCACTCGCCCCACCAAGATAAGTCGCTGGTTAAAATCCATGATCACGTGTCTAACCTCTTGCTTCCCCTCAAGATCAAACTAATTTTGAGAGACATTTTACGAAGGCACCAGGCAGAGGCTCACCATGGCGTCGCCCGCCCCCCAAAATGTATTCATCGCCGGCTCCACCACCAGCCTCTGAAATCACTTGAACATCATTGGAATCACCTTAGACTCGACATTCTCACTCGACGACCACATTCTCAACACAATAAAGAGCTGCAATCACTAGCTCAAGGCCTCATGCACGCCCGTCCAATGCTGACAGCCGTCCGACGAGATAGAAAACATTTAAAGCAACTCTGACCTCACAATCCACGAAGAAAGAAAATATTTTTAAGTTCACTAGGTTTGCTTTCTACCTGATGACGATTGCTTGTGTTGCAATCGAAACGTCGTATTCTATTATTTAATTTATTTATTTTCTACGTGACTTTACCGAAAGAACCAAAGAGTATTTACACTATGAGACCTCCTTTACCAGTGGCAAAGGAGGTCTCATAGTGTAAATGCTTACCCCGAGCTCTCAATACTCTGATAGTGTGCTGTTTTTGAGTTGTACGCCTTTTGGCGTCTTCTGGTCCAACACCAATGGAGACTAGGCTCTAAGAAAAGCTGTCTCGGGTGTGGACCAATCAACTTCAAGGACAGTGCATATCATTATCAAAGTTGTTTCTTTTTATTTGCATTTTGACTGCTTGTGTTGTGGTTATTGCAAACATGCCTTGTATAAAGGTGTCAGTTTTGTACCAGTTTAAAGGGTAAAAACCTACTATAACCAAAGAGTAATTCATGCAATCACGAAAGCTTCAAATCAAGTTTTAATCCACGAAGACTTGAAACACCCAGCACGAAAGTGCTTAAAATCACGCCAGCCATTCTGGGAAACAGGAGCCAAGATCCATGCAGGCGGCACCAACCCATTATGTCTTGGGGTTGATGTTTATTCCCTGGCCAATCGTCAAGAGAGTTGGCACCAGGAACGTCATTGTGATGGTGACCGCCAAAATGAACTGTCCCATTACAAATGAAGACCGAGATTGCATCCTCCGCAACGCGAGGCCGGAGTGCGGTCTCAGTGAGGTCGTGCAAGGTATTCCCGTACGGTTCTTGTCTCTGTTCATGTAAAATGCGGGGCTTTTATTTTGCGTTGTCTCGGGGATTAAAAAAGTAACCGCTGTTGCAAAGTATTTATTTATTGAACTGTGAATACGTCGGCACTTTTTAAACTACATATCTGTTACTTTTTATGTACGGGGCGTGCACATTTCAATGGACACGCTAACCGTAGCGCCAAGCCGTTACCACGTGAAATGTACGGATAAATGATGAACTTCGCCAAGCACTTTATTTCCATCATCCACGATACCTCCAGAAATAGCGGTTTCTGAACTCGTGAATGTAGATCGGTGACAATTCGGTCTCCTCGGGGTTTTTATCGTTTGTACAAAAGCAGCTCAAAGTGTGGGAAGGGAAAGCGAGATTAATGTTTTCCAGAGATTTTGTCTACCTCGTTTTGTATTTGCACTTGAAATGAATATATACTTGTCGTGACAAAACTGGTCTCGCTTCCATTTATTACTTTGCCATCGCAGTGTGTGTGTGTGTATGTGTCTTTGTGTGTGGGTGTATGTGTGTATGGGTGTGGATGTGTGTGTGTATGTGTTTGTTTAAATGTGTGTGTGTATGTGTGTATGTGCGTGTGCTCGCTAACAGCACTTGCCCCAACAGCCTGTTTGGCTATACGGGGGGTGTTTGTCTTTGTATGTCTGTGTGTTGATGGGTGTGTACGTGTTTGTGTGTGTGGATGCGCGTGTGTGTATGTTTAACTTCTTTAGCACCACACACAGCCAACCGTGCTAATCTAAACTAAACACAAAAATCAGAAGTGGCGTGCAACTAGCACAGGAGTACACTTGTGTACACGTGCACTTGCTGTACTTGTCAGAAACGTGTGTGGGTAAGAGGTCAACACCGCCTTGCTGACCTAATTAAATGTTGAATATAAAAAGTGGATAGAAGGTAAAGGTACAGCCCCTGCGGTTGTTACGCCACTGCCGGCAAATGGGGCCTCCACGAGAGGGAGCTGCAGAGAGCCCCTGTGAGGGTAATTGGCCTACTCCTCCACACTGGCCAGGACGTCTTGGAGAGAAGGTCGTCAAATATGAAGTTAGATAAACCTGCCGCTTACAACCTTTGACCGTAACGCGTTTGCTGGAGACGCGCTTCTGCCGGGCCCAAATCCAGGGCGGCGTGTGAAGAAAAACGGGGTCCAGAGAATGTTGACTCCCGCACGGGGGGGTGCGGTACACTGGGGCACTGCTGTGGGTGTGGTTTCGCAATCGCCCAGCCACGTGGAGGAGTAGCCACTGATATGAAACGCAACGCCATCGTCTCATCTAATCAGCCCGTTCACCCGTGAAGCGGTGGCACGGCCCTTAGCTGCCATCAAAGTTCGATTCCCGGCCACGGCTAACGTCGGTGCTGAGTGACATCTGAACAGATATTTGGGCTGCCTCCCCTTCACACCAACTCGTACTGGTGAAGTATGATTAAACACCCCCCCCCCCCCCATTTACTGACATAGAGTGGGGGGCTCTTACCTCCGCTGTGGATTGACAGAGGGCCGCTGTCTAGGCTTAGCCCACGCCAGGATAATCGCAGCATCCCTCTGCAATAGCTCTGCTGTGACACCTGAAGGCACACAAACACACAAGTGGGTGGCCAGGTGAGGGAGGGTCACGTCTCATTCAACGAATAAAAAACGAAAAGGAACCCGCCACGGATATTCACCAAGCGCCAATGAGAGCGTCGTGGCGATGCTGCTCCTGTCAGAAACCCGCCACACGATGCAGTGCGGGCACGAGTTGACAATTTAAACCCCACGCACCCGCTACTTTGCTTGTCAACACCCTCAGCA